ACCCTAAACCCTAAAACACCACCCTCAGACATCTTGATGAACGCCCCCGGAACAGCATCTTAGATGGTTTCCTTCTTTGCACACGAGGTGTTTTTTCTCTCGGATGCTGTGGCGAAGCCGCCGAAGCAAGGCAATGCCAGGGCAAATCTCCCACAGGATCCGTGCCTGAAGGGTTCCTGTAAGGCGTTCCGGGGTTCTTTTATGGGGTTCCTTCAAGGGTTCTAGAATGATCGCTTCTTTTTTGTTTCTGTTTTAGGGAGCCTACTGTCTGCGGGTATGCAGGTACTTAGAACCCTCTGGGTCATCTACAGTCACAGTTTCGGCAAGGGCTGGAGGAGCCTCAACCGCTTCAAGATGCCACTTGACCAAGCCGAAGGGTCGACTGTAGCGCTCAACCGTACCCCAAACCCTGAAGCCCTAAATCCCTAAACCCTCAAACCCTCAAACCCTAAAACCCTAAAGCCCTAACCCCTAAGTCCCTAAACCTTAACCCCCCTGCTCCTCACGTGTTGCATCATGCAGGCCCGCAATGTTACGCGCAGAGCTCTGATCTGCACTGTGGCGACTTCGGTCTTGGTGAGCGCTTCGATCGGCAAGCACCTCGAGCGTGCCAAAGGGTCTAAAGTACCTGTTTAGGGTAGAATGTAGGTTCTTTAGGGGTTCCATTAAGGGTTTAGGGTTCCTCGAAGGGTTCCTATAGTAAGTACCTATTTCGGAGAATGTGGGTTTTTACATATTCGGATATTTGGAATTACTTTTATGATGTGGGGAAGTATTCCCCATAAGCAGTACCTAGAGTTTTTGGGGAATGCACTTTCGACGACCGCAGATCTTTGTCCAGCTTTTGTACTTACGGTTCGATTGCGACTGGCTCGATATCTCAATTTTGCAAACTTCCCTAGGGGTCGAAAGGACCCAAAACTTGGTACTTGGGCTTACATTAGTTAGGCAGGTCACTATTCCGGGGTGTCTTGATTCTTGGGTACTTGAACCATAAGGGTTTCCTAAATGCCGTAAAGCCTAAACCCTAAACCCTAAAGCCTAAAGCCCCCGAATCCCTAAACTTGAAACCCCAGAGGGCGGTCCATTTACCCAAATAGGGTCCTTTGAGGGTTGGTTTGAGGGTCCCCTTAAGGGTTTCCTTTAACGGTTTAGGGTGTAAGGGTCCATGTACCCCGATAGCATATGCTTTCGCCTTAAAGCAGGCTCTACTTAGGTACTGCAGTAGGGCAAGGGTAAATACTATCTGAGCACAGGGACCTCAGGGCAACCAAAGCAGGACATGCCCGTTACATGCGTTCCCTATAGTGCCTCTTAACAAACCGTCTATGCCCATCACTCTTCTGAGTGTATACCGTCTAGGTTGTTTACATCTTTGCGGGTTCTGTTCTTGGCAATTAAAGGAATCGCAAAGGATCTGTATAGGGAGTTTCTCGGGGGATCAGGTAGATGCCCCAGATAGCTGGGAGTCCCTTTCCCAGGGGCAAGATACCTCCAATACGGATCTTGCTATGTAGGCTTCCGTATTCAACTTGTATGTTGGAGGCATGCTGGTACCGTAGTTTGGGGATTAGGAGCATCGCCGTGCACCTCCACCTTCAATCCCACACCCTATACACCCTAAACTCCTAAACCCCTGTTTAAACCGCTATATAGCATAAACCCTGCGAAAGTGAACACGGCCCTTATGGAAGACACATTCTAAAGGAGCCCGTCAAGGTACCCTATATACGTCCGCGATCTTCGAAGTATACCTTAAACAGGGTTGCTTATTACGGGCTTAGGGGTTTAGGGGTTTAGGGTTCAGGGGCTTAAGGGTTTAGGGTTTAAGGTTTAGGGTCCCAGCCACCTTGTGGTGGCGTATATACGTCCTTAAAAAGATAGGTTCTTCAGGGTCCAGGTAGACCTCAAACCTTTAAGCCACCCGAATACCCCTGGTTCCTCAAAAGCATTGTTTACAACATATGCCACCATTTTGTCAAGCTTTTATCGCTTTAACTTCTAAACGCAAAAGAAACCCTTGGACGACCATAGAGCACCCCACAGAAAAAAACAGAAAAAACCTGCGACACCTTCGAAACCATAGGAAGCACCGCAAAAGAACAACTTATAGAGCTCTGGAAACCATAGAAAGCTCCATAAGGAATAAAATGATGTGAAACTTTGGGGCACCACAGACAGCCTCATACACCCCGTATCACCACGGAAAGCGTAAACGCAAAGTTACCAACAAAGTGTCTCAGGTGTCCATCGCCGACTGGCTATGAGGCATCGACATGGGGTCTGTGGGCCCAAAGGATCCTATATATGGTACGGTTGATGATATAAATCCTGCATTACCTTAAGGACCCTAAACTATGGGAATTATGGTATATTCCCTATTATGGGTCATGCAGGATTTATATCATCAACAGTAGAATGTAGGGTTTGTATGAGATTGCAATTATGGTTTGGGGAAAGGTTCCCCGCAATACATAGGACCCTTTGGGGGCTGAGGGGTTGGAGCTTGGATGTGTAGGCAGCTTCGAATCCCCAGTGGAGCTCTGCACATTGACTTCCACGGGGCTCCTATATTGGGGCTTTTGGGACACGGTATAGTGTAAACCATATAGTCACATAGAGCCTGTGGGAAGAGCAGCTTTGCATCTTAAAGTTGATCGTTACTCCGCAGAGTAGATGCGATCCTCGTCTAAGCCAATTTCCTCGAAATCTGAGCTCATGCAGACTATGTCAAAGTTCACCGTGGTTTGCGAGACTGTGTTATGTCAATATCGTCTATAGACAGTATCGTACGGTACTGTATGATAGACGCAGTACCGTTGTTCCTTCTCCGCGAAGCTCGGGCTCCAACAGGCTTCAAGTGCTTTGCTGAATCCCAACTTTTTGGAAAGAGATGGCATCTTGGATGCTGCTGCTGCTGCTGCTGTAGACCCATAACAGCGCCGTCAGGTGACAGCACCGGGTCAACTCGCGCGTCGATCTTGCATGCAGGGCTTTTAACAGTTAGGCTATACATGTCTTAGCAAAGCTACCGGCTGTACGTGTAGTGATGACGTGTCTGATCACAAGTGTAAGTGTTCACACCTTGGAGAACTGCACAGTAAGGGGTCGGAGCCCGGTTCTGGAAGAAAAGAGGAAAGCGGAGGAGCTGGGGCGGGTCGAGGGGGGCAAAGCGAAGGGCGGGACGTGAGACGATGGAGGAAGCCCAATGAAAGGGGCATCTAGACTGAATGATCGAGAGACAGCGGTGACGACGACCGACCCTGACAACGTCAGAAGACGCGGGCCAAGCATGCGCCAGAAGGCGTCAGTATTGTTGTGTTGTCACGGTGTGATGGGTGAAGGTGTACCGTAACATGACGTAGCAAGGAACATCGTAAAGGACAGTTGCGACCGGCGAGAACACGGGGAACGAGAACACAGAAAACATGTCTGACACGTACGATGGCCCTTTGAGCGCCAGAGGACGCGGGCTCGAGTGGCGCCAGAGGACCCTTGTGCTTGCGCCAGAGGACGCTTGCACTCTGTGTGTGTGTGTGTGTGTTTCAGCGAGAAACACGTAAGAAAACAGGCAAAACGGAGCCAGCCATCGTGTGGTGTGTGGCACGTGTGTCGCTAGATTGGTGCCTTCGCGTGTGTGATCTGAGAAACCTTCGTGGAAAGCCGGTGTGTACGGGTGAAAAGCTAGTAGCCTCCTGTCCGTTTGAGCCCTGTGAGCAGATGCGTAAGCAACTTGTGCGAGTTCTGTCAGGCGTGAAAAAAGCCGAGCCGGGTTAAACCCACCAGATTAATTGGAATGTCGGCGCCCACCCGCCATCCCCGGACAAGATGACACAAGACAGGAAGACCAAATGCCCCCGAGGGGACATAGGTCCAACGCCTGACTTGCGATATGTCATCATGCCCGTTTGCATCTCGTCCTCCCCGAAGGGAGCGCCCCGTGTGGGGAATGACGTTAGCCCCGCGCGAGTGCGTGTTATGAATGTGTATCGAGAAGAAAGCGTAAATTCACGCACTTTTGGTCAGGGACCTTGACCACGATCCAAAACGAGTCGAGAAAACGGAGAGGCTAACGAAGCGTCGAACGAAAGAGACGAAATGAGACGAGACCGCCAGCGTAAGAGCCTATGGGACCGTGGCACTGTCGAGAGGGACAGGTCACGATGGGTAATGAGCGCGGGTTTCCAGGGGGCACCACGTGGAGGTTTGATGCATGCCGAAGGTTCCTAGCCTGATCGGAACCTCCCCCGTTGCGTCCCGTGTGTGGGTCGGTTCTGCATGCTCACACTCTGCTGTACCAAAAGAGCAGGCACCGTCCTATGCATACACTCTCTTTTGCGCTGCAACGGGCAACAGAGCGGCTAGCCGAAGGTGTTGTTCGTTTAAAGTCGAACACGCCATAGTCGGGGCGGTTCGCTCCCTTCGGGCATTGGAAAAGCCTCTGCCGCCACCAAGGCCCGAAGACCAGGGAGGGCGGGAGGGCCAAACTTCAACTGAGCCGAAAAGTCTTGAGACACATCGGCTCATTCGCTAGCAGAACTCTATGTTATCACTAACGAGCAAGTTCTGCATGCTCACACTCTGCTGTACCAAAAGAGCAGGCACCGTCCTATGCATACACTCTCTTTTGCGCTGCAACGGGCAACAGAGCGGTTAGCCGAAGGTGTTGTTCGTTTAAAGTCGAACACGCCATAGTCGGGGCGGTTCGCTCCCTTCGGGCATTGGAAAAGCCTCTGCCGCCTTATCTAAATACTTTGCAGCGAGTGTATGCAGGAGTTCGGTTCCTTAAGAGACAGGGCAAGGGGGGGGCAGCACGAAAACCCGACTGTTTCCGGACCCATCCGTCGTCTTCCGCTGTCTGAGGCTTTGCCTCACTCACAAACAACTTGCAAGAAACAGGGCGGATCGCCACACCGCCTACTGTACATCGGAGCCTTTGGCTCCCATTCTGGCGGAACGCCTGTGCACAGGGCTTATAACCCGAAAAGCTCTGCAGAGCTTTAAAGATGAAAACCGCCCACCGCGGAACTTTGTGCTGAATCATCAGCCGGTAAATCGTTCCCAGCTGGGGCGGTGTCACCTGCAGCATCACCTCCCTCAGGCGTTGTAGAAGGAGCTGAGGGTTGGGCTCCCGGCTGATCGTCACCTTGGTCCGGAGGCACTGGCCGCCCAGCTTCTCGATCTTCCGGCTGATCGGAACGAGGTGGGGGAGGTTCTGGCCGCCCGTCCGCGGTTGTACCCGATGGTGCAGAAGAGGTTCCCGACGGGGTGCTCGCTGTAGTGCCAGTATGAGGTGGTACACCTGGGGGGGTGGAGCACCTGCGGATTTGGAAGCGGTTGTGGGCTCCGCTCTCTCTGCATCCGCATTGACTCTCGCCTCCAAGTAATCGAGGAATTGCTCCATTGTTTAGCAATCCCCCACCTCCTCCTGGGTCCAGGTGACTCCCCGCCTTTCAAGTCTCTCCAATCTGTTGAGGAGATAAAGGCGATGGGAGCGGCCCAAGCTCATCATGGGCGGTAGCGCCCTCACCCTCTGCAGGGGAGTGGCACGGGGCTGTAACGCCACATTGCCCTGGGCCACCTGGTGTTGTACGGCACGAAGTCGGGAGCGATGGCGTTGAAACGCCACTGCCGTGGATACACCTGCCTCCAAATCGGCCAGGTACTTGGGGTCGTTGCGAGCAGTGTCGTTGGATGCCCTCACCTTGACATTGCTGGACCCCCCTTTACCCTTCTGGCCTCGTAGCTGGGCGGTGCGCCTGATGGTATCGGCCAAAAGCCCTCCCATCACGGCACTCGAGCTGTTCGCGAGGTTTTCCAGGAGTGCCCGCTGCTGGCCGGCGTTGAGGCCTCTCATCCTTTGCTCCAGGTCCGCGCATTCTCGTTCGAGCCGGGCAACTTCCTCGAGCTCCTCTTTGTTGAGGACGACATCATCCTCCGGTTCCTCGTCATCAGATACCACGCATTGCTCCCTGTCACGGTTGCACATGGTGCAAATCGTGCGGGTGATTGGCACCCTATAGGAGCACCTTTTGCAGTACCAGTGCGTGGCTCTCTTGCCAGCGTTCCCGGAGCCTTTGCCACTCGGCGTCGAACTCGGGGCGGAGGCACCCTTACTGCCATCTGCAGGCGGTACGCCCTCATCTGGCGGAACTGCCGGCCCATTGCCCAAGATCTGCATAGCCCACCGGCCCATAACATTCTGGGCTTGGTCCGCTTCCGCATAGGTCTCTGCAAGCGGGAGCAGGCGGAGCGGGGCCGGGTAAATGCAGGGTAGGGCGGCACGGCCTGGGCGAGGTGGCCCCTCATTCCCCCTGTAATGTTGACCAAGGCTGGGGTTCCTCAGGAAGTCCTGAAAGGTGAACAGGGGGCGATGGTCTCCGGTCGCAGGGCTGAGGGGCGGTAGATCGCCTTGAGGTTCCGGATGTGCCTTGTGTAGGTCCATAAAGCATGGATTGTCCCGATTTGCAAGATGGATCCGGGACATGTGGCCTCGGCGGTGTGCCCAGTGCAGGATATTGTGCCACTTGACGGATGAAGATCACTCCCACGCGCCCCCATGACTGCAACCCGCATAGGGCCCTGCGGCACATGACCAAGATGTCAAGCTCGCGCACAGTGAGAACCACAGGGCCTCTCCGTTCGGTGCCACAATCGCCATAGGACGGCTTTCCTCTGTGGGGCCCCTGGCCTTCGGGTCGACCAGAGGCTGAAGGCCACCAGACGCCGGTGGCGGTGCGGCATAGCTTTTCGGGGTGGCTGGAGTAGGGGGCAGAGGTCCCTCGGGCAGTGCGCCCATACCCTTACCTTTTCCAAGGCCTTTCTTGGCGAAGTAGACGGACTTCGGCACTGGCTGGGGGCGGTGCGGCTGTAGCGGCAGAGGGCGGTGACGCCTTCCTCTTCCATCTGCTCGTCCTCATCCAAGCCAGACAAAGGGCCTCCCAAACAGGCCCCAGTCGGAAATGACTACTATGGCTTTGGCGGATGCCTTTCCGCTGTGCCCGGCGATTGAGCACAACAGTATCTGTGGACGCCCTCGGGTGCACCAGCAGGTCGTCGGGGGCAGGGCCGTTATTGATGAGAGACCCATGTCTTGGCCGCCAGCATCCACATCCAGAACACTGGTTCGCTTTGATGGTCGTCTCATCCTGGCAGTCGGGGCATATCCAGTGTGTCGCCCTCTCCTGCAGCGTGTCGAGAGCGACGGCACCCATTGCAGCCATACCGATGAAGCCCATTAGGTTCTCCACAGCCTCCACAGATCCACCGCATCGTGTTGTCAAACGTGGAGGGCGGCGGCGCCTTGGTGGGGAGGGCGGAGCCTCGGCCCCAGGGGCTTGCGACGGCTTTGGGGGTGGAGCAGCCTTCTTAGGTGGAGGCGCCGTGCTGGGACGTGCCTTCGGTGGGGCCTTGTAGGGCTTCTGATGCTGGAAAAATGCAGCCACAACCAAAGACCGACTTGAGCTCGGCGGGGGGGGGAGGCGGCGCTTCCTTGGCCCGTGCCCAGGGGTTAGGCCGGAGCGGAGCGCCAGCTGACGAAAAAGAGGTCCATGAGGAGGTTCTCCGTCACCTTTTGGCCCCCTTTCGTCCAGGTACATCGTCAGGGCGGTAACTGCCATACGGGCCTTTGGAAGCCCCCTTTTGCTGTCGGCGGTACCGGTAGGGAGGCCCCTTTTGCAGCACCTCAGCACACGTCCACAGCGGATGCGAGGGTACCTATCGATCTCCGGGCCAGAGGACTCAGTGTCAGGACCGCCACTGGAAAACTCCTCGCTGCTGGTGTCGTAGAAGGGGGTACCCCAGCGACCTTTGTCCTTGCCCTTGGCAGAGCCAGCTCTGTGGCGAGGCTTTTGGCGGAGGCCTGATTCCACCATCCATGATGGGGGGCGGTGCCGCTTGACCCTCCATCTCATGCCGCGTTCGACGGGGGCGGAACCGTCCCCCGTCCCCCCAGTACCAACTCCCAGGCCCAGGATATTGTCATGGAGAATCCTGAGGCTCGGGTTGAGGAGGATCTCCTTGGCATTGCCCAGCGCCTGCATGCGGACTGTAGCCATTTCCACCTCATCTGAAAGACTTTTGTCCGGGTGATAGCACTGCCCGGGGCGAGGCCGAGGAAATCCCATGCACTGCCCCATTCCTGGATCCACTCTCGAAGTTGGCGATTGCCCATACCGGTTGGCGGAGCAGCTTCGGCCATGCTGAGAGCAGAAGGAGAGGCGGTGCGCCGGGGAGAGCGGAACGCTTGCTGGAGCAAAGAAAGCAGCTCGGGAGACACACGTGAACCAGGTCTCTGCGGGGCAATAGGCTGTTGGCTCTCATGCAACGCGACCGACGACGAACTCTCAGAGGTTCTACTGGGCCCAGCTTGAGGAGGGAGGAGCCATTCGGGGGTACCTCCATACCTAAAAAGGAAGGGTGGGGGATCAACAATTCCGCCTGCTTCCAATTACCTACGGAGCCTGACTCTTTGAATGAAGGTGAGTCCGGTGGTTCTTTCGAGGTGCTCAAGATGCGCTTGGCTAGTGGCCCAATTTTCATCGAATCCCTCATCGGAGCCCTCCGCGCTACCACTTTCACTGGAAGGGCCCCCAGCTCTCGTTCATACAAGAGTGCCCGCTAGGGTGCATATACTGCTGCGGTTGGAGCACCGGGCGGGACGCCAGCATGTCTTTGGACCGACTGGGAGCAGCAGCAAGGTCAGTGTACAGATAGGCATGTACAGCATCAGACTTCCAGCCTCCAAACCTCTTAACCACTTCCACGTCGCTAGTTACGGCAAGCATGGCGGTGGCACCTCCTTTTCGCAGGCTGTGGGAGGCGACGAGATGCGCTGGATAGCCTAGCGCCACAGCAGCCAGCCTTAGTAGGTCAGATAGACCCTCTCGTGAGATGCCTATGCCTTGCCAAGCGCAAACAGGGAGACTAACGTCGCTTACCCAAAAAGGGTTATGCTTAGCGTGTTCCTGCAAGGCCCGGACAGGACAGATGTCCTCGCCAGTGGCGTGCTGGAGCCTAACCTGTCCCCTTCCGAACTGGTCCCCTTTAGAATCCCTTAGCTGCACGGCAACAGAGTCAGCTTCAAACACGGAACAGCGTTGCCCCTTGCAGAAGAAGTCAATGTCGCTGCCTCGGAGGACCCGAGTGGGAACATTGCAAAGATCCGAGCCGGGGAGGTACTCCGAAGCTCGCAGCATGAAGAACCAACCTAGGCAGATCGAGGTAAAGAGCTTTCCGTTCCGCGAGAGGGCGGTCCGACCCGTCAAGATACCGCTTCAACCAAGTGAACATGCCAGGGGTAACGGGGACCTTACGGACTGGGGCCCCGTCCCAGTGGTTCATCCCAGCGAGCGCTGCCCAAAGCCTGACTCGGCCTGTTAAGGGGTCCTGGTAGCCGGTTGCTATGTGCGCGTACCGGATCCCTGACAGCCGCTGCTTGATGCCTTGGGCGGTGCGGCCCATCACCTGATGCAGGAAAACAGTAAAGCGGATCAACCAATCCTCGTCTCGTTGCTTCTCCATCCGAGACTCCCCTTGCAAGAAGGGTGACACCCCCGTGCCAGACATGAAAGCTGCCCATTGCTTCCACCCCGTGTTATAGGAGCGCCTGGTAGAGTCAGCGAG